ATTTATCTCAAAATCAGATGTTGTATGCATTGATCAAACGAGAGTGGTGCTGAAGAACGACAAACAAGACTATATCCATGCAAGTTATGTCAGAGGAGATCCACTTGTGAACCCATTCATTTGTACGCAGGTAACGATGCAGTTCATGCTCTCGCTCATTCTGGGAATAACAATGAGTTGTTCGAAATAAATCGAAAGTAGAGAGTAGCTGTAGCGGACTGGTGCAAAAAGTCGAAATCGAACGAAATTTTACAAGATGTCAAAAAAAGTTGAAAATCAGCTGTTATAGAAAGCAGAGTTTCTTTCCAATTGCGTTTTTATATATCCCGCATACAACACCAAATAATCACTTAAAAGAGTTAAGAATACTCATTGCAGGGACCAATGAAGAATACGGTGAACGATTTTTGGAAAATGATGATACAAGAAAAAGTGAGCCTTATATTTATGCTGTGTAATGTTGTCGAAGCACGCAAAATTAAATGTGTGCAATATTGGCCACCAGAGGAAGGTGAAACTATTGAATTCGCAGGTTAGTAGCAGTCACTGGATTCGTCAACCAGTTCAGATGACTTCCTAAAAGTTTGATACGTTGAAAGCTGCCAAAGACGCGTACATCCCTTGAACTAAAAGCAGAGTGCATTTCAGTCTCTAAAGATATTCAATGAACCGCAGATTGATCTTTTCGGATGAACTTTTCGAAGTTATACACAAACGTATTTCAACAAGATTTTTTGGCAACTTTTAGGAGTTTGTTTCTGATCATAAGCGCTCTCGTTATGCTGTTGATCTGTAGGTGTAGTGATAAAGAACATCTCAGTGGACGACGAAGACAGCACGCTTGTCATGACCAAATTAGATGTTGAAGGAATGTGAAATAACACATGTTCGCTGGAAGGAATGGTCATTTTTTGTGCATCATTGTCATTAGAGTACATTCTGCTTTTCACCATTGTATTCCACTCTTCAGGATGCACTTTCGACTTCGTGAGATAATTCGATGCAAAAGACCAAACAAATTTCAGTGTTAATTATTGCAATCACTGTCGATAGCGCGTTTACTATCCCACATTTCCTTTTACATGAGTAATGCGTAACCACACATAAGTTTCATGTGATCCAATTCTAACATTATCAGCTGGAAAAAAACGATGACATCAAAATGGCAAGCAATCTTATAAACGAAAGGTTGTTCATTCAGGCCCGATAAATGGGTGCCAACAAGTGTATTCGCACCGTTTCGCATGTTAAAAATGGCCAGACAATCGACAAGTCGACCAACTCCGGTGCATTGTTCAGCCAGAATCGGTCGTAAAGGCTGTATTGTGGCACTTGAGCTATGTATACAAATACTCCTCATGTTGAAGCCATTCAATCTTATCTGTGCGATCAAGCAACTTCGTGGTCAGTTCTAACTATCTGCTGAAAAAAAAGAACGACCGATGAACTCAGATCTTACCATCAGTCGAATGGTTGTTCATCACTCTTTCAAAACTCGACTATAGATCACTTTATGTAATTCAAAATGCTGCAGATAACCAAACAGATATTCCAGCATGTGTTTTCATACACATTTACGGCTTTGAGTGATTAGAAAAATTTCAGTGCAACGAAAATGTTTTCCTTTTAGAACACATGCAGGATGAGTTTTAGTGATATTTCATGTGATTGTGAGCAAAATGTTACATTTGTACTTTTGCCTGCTGAATTTGAGAGCAGAGAATGCAAGCCATTTATCAGAGTATACTCCGAATGCAAGAGGTTTTTCAGCAATGCGTATGGGCGCCGTGCAAACAGACATACAATTGGTTTACGTTGCAAGATGTCTTGTCGCTTATGCAACGGCGTGTAGTGTCATGGACAATAAATCTGAACTCAAAGAGGTTGTCATGAAACAGTTTTCAGAGGGAAACATCAGGAAAACCAAACCGGAGATCAATAAATTCATTGGGAAAGCACCTTATGTCGAAAACTTGCTTTAGAAGGAGGTCTAGATGCATAGAACGGGCAATGAGTGGTCAACAACGCTATACGATGACTATGATAATTGGTCAAAAGTATCATCAATGCTTTGAAGTTAACTGCTTTATTTTTAGTTTAATACAACTTGATACTGGTGAGAAAATGGTTTCTTATCTATATTCCATCATATACAATCACTTTCCCAATTTGAACTTCTTTGAAAACCCTAAATGGAGAATTTAAAGCTTTGCTTTTTTAGAAGGCAACGAAATTCGAAGATGAATATAATGCATACTTGAAATCAAAAGAATCCGTCAAAGAGAATCTTATTGCGGACGAAGCTGTTGCCTGTCCAGAAGAGGAGAGTCCATATTTCCAGAAAGCAACAACACCTCAGGAACGTTATGACCAAAAAACACCGCCAGTCCTGTCACCTCGATCCAATAAGACACCACCCCAACCTAGTCCCAGGATTAATGCGGCTTCATTTCAGCCAGCTCCCGCCGATCTTCCACCATCCCAACGACGCCCTCCGTACGCTCAAATGCAAGATAAACCTGGATTGATCAATTTAATGGTACCTCAGGTTGGTTTCTAAGATAACTTCAGCCAACGCTAGAGCCAGTTTTAGACAAATGGGAAATTTTTGGACAAAGAAAAATTTTTTCTCTAGATGTATAATGAGAGACTTTTTACCAAAAGAAACCGTGGGTCCTGTCATATCAACCCAAAACACCGCTGGTTCTGTCACCTTGATCCAATAAAACACCACCCCAACCTAGTCCTACGGCTAATTTGGCTCCGTTTCAGCCAGCTCCCGCCGATCTCTCACCATCCCGACGACGCCCTCCATACGCTCAAATACAAGATCGACCTGAATTGATCAATGGAACAGTACCTCAGATTGGTTTCTGGGATAATTTCAGACAACATTAGAGCCAGTTTTAGATAGATGGGAAATTTTTGGATGAAGTTTCTTTTGGTAAAAAGTCTCTCATTTTCTCCAAATGTATGATGAGAGACTTTTTCGTTTTTCTCCTGAAATACGCTAGCCCTAAATCCCTCAAAGACGGAGTAATACATTGAAAGGGGTTTTCATGAAACGGCTTTCGAATGCAAGCCTCATTTTGATATGTTGCTGTCCAAAACGTGGATTCAAGTGAAGAAATTCGCCTGTGTGGTGAAGATTCCCGGACCAGAATTCATGGAGAATCATTTTCGTTCTGAAAGCAAGTGAATATTGAAGGTGCAGTTCACAGGAAGTGCAGCAACTATACCACAATCGCCGAAACAAAGTCAACGTCAACAAAGTCAACGGGTCCCAGAAAACTCCGTTTACTAACTCGTTTTTGATTGAACATTACCTGGATGATATTAAGTAAATAGTTCATCTGTTTTGTAATTGCGGAAATGAATTGAGCATGACTCTGGTTCTATCTGGTATTAATGATCACAACATGAAAATAAACATTTTTGATTTCGTGTTCAAAAGCAGAATCTACATAAGATATCAGATATGCATCAGTTGGTGATTGTCAGAAGTATACCAGTCAGCTTGCATTACGAAATATCGACATTTTCACTTACTTCTACGATAAGTATGTTCAACAGATTTCAGCCCATTACAAACAAGTCCCCTCGGTTGTCACAAACATCACAAAAATTACTCTCTTCATATGTTATAGTCAGTCAGCCGCCTTCTTTATAACAAATAATCGTGTTTGACAACCTCGGATATTTGAACTTGCTTCCTTGAATTTGCTTCCCATCTCCACAATCTTGTTGATAATTTTGGGACTATCGATCTATTGGTCCAATTCACTTTTTTGACTAAAGGCGATTAAAGGCACTGTAATTCATCGTATGAAAACATATCTAACGATTACTGGTTACAGTTTCAAAATTTTAGCAAATTCTGACATCAAATACTTTCGATGGAATGTTGAATTTACAGAAATTTGAAATGTAAGCAAACATCATTTGCATAACTGAAATGTTCGTGCGTAAATTCCTTTGTAGCAACCACTCAAGTGCATACGGTAGGTTTGAATGAAACAAGCCATATGGCATCAGGAAAGTAGCTGTATTTCTTCGTAGAGGCAAAACTTCTCGGCGAACTTTTCATTTTTAGAAAGCCGATATTCCGCTCAATCGAATGATGTACAAATACCAATATTTTACTGGGCAAACA